AATCAAACCACTTATCAATTAATTTTTCTATATTATCAAAGAATAATAAGTCGAAAGTTAATGCAGTTTTTTTCTATATACAAAATATAGTAAAGAGCCAGAAAACATTTGCGGAATTTCTTAGATAGCTAAAACATATGTTACGATAAATATTTTTAATTTTATTATTTTTGCAGTTGTGCATTCTTGAGATATGATAAGAATATATAGGTTAATTTGTGTTTGTATAAAGGTGTTATTATATATTAATATGGTTTTGATATGCGATAGGCAGAGGTATCAAGAGGCGGTACCTGGAGCCATTGCGATTTTGATATGCAAAAGGCGGTGCGTGGTACCATTGTGAGAGCTATTTGAGAATGTTTTTCTATATAACATGCCTCGAATGAGTAAACCGTTAAAATGTTGGTTATAGACCAGGTCAACTATATAGATGTATAGATGTTAGATTCAATATGTTTCTAGAAATCACAGAAATATCATTTTATGTATAATTAATGGGAATATTTGTAGACTAGATCAGCTATGAGTATATATATCTTAAACTTTTATCTATCAACTATCCTCTGGATACTAGACTCTTAGACTATATACTATTATTAGATTGAGATTTTCGAGAAGTTGCACGAATAAAGATAATAATAATCAGTAAAATAATTTATGATAAACCAAAAAAGACTTTGAAAAAAAATGGAAGTTCTATTAAAGTTCCGCACAAACTGATTAATCCATAGATTGTAATAGCATGCGATTCTCTTTACAAACCTAAAGCAATGAATTCTAAAATCAGACCAGACCTTTTTTAGCTAATTTAACTACATTTAAGTAATTGACCAAAGTAGCAATATTTTTGTTTCCTAGTAAAACTTTCCGCCTTGGTCTAGTCAGAAATAATGATAGAGTTACTTAAAAGAATATATATTATTCTTGCAAGCTTGTAATTAAGTTGAATCTTTAATTGTGACTTAGTTGCTGACAGGTACAGTAATTATTCGCATATACAAATTAGCAGACAGAGGCGAGCTCTTCGCCTTTTTACAGTGAATATTCGCATGTAATTAACAGGCATTTGATTATGGTCAATTGGCGAATTTGTCTGGTGCTAATTGCTTGTGAAAAGCGGTTCATATAATGCTGTCAATCACTGTGGCGCTGCCTCAGTCTATTTTTGAGGCACCTTTGCCCCAGCGCGCGCCCCCTAAGCAGGGCGGGGCTATTGAACTCGTTGCTGCCAGTCAATTTTCGTCTGTCTTTGACATTGATGCCAAATTGCAAAGTTTGATTTGAATGCGTTCTGTGTGTGTGTGTGTGAGAGAGAGAGAGAGAGGGAGAGTGTGAGTGTGTGTCTATGATTGTGTGTGTGTGTGTATTCACGCTACTCATTAATGCAACCTAGCAGCATCAACAACTACAACAACAACAACAGCAGCAGCAACGATCTCGTACAACTGCAAGTGAAGCATCTGCCTGAAAAGTTTTCGCAGCGCCTTTTGCAGTCTTAATTAAATAAGTTTGACGTTGCTGCAACTTCCACTTGCTGCTTGTTGCAACTCATTTTGCTTATTTGCCTTTTTAGGCAAAAAGAAAAAAAAAAATGGAGAAAAAAATAGAAGTTTTCGCAAACAACTTTAATGGGCTTTTAAAAACAAGCAACGACAACTGCGAGTCATTTAATGTAAATGCGATTCACTCGTTGATCCAACTCTCTCTCTCTCTCTCTCTTTCTTTCCCTTCGCCTCTCTCACTCTTTTCCTCTTCTAATGCCTAGCTTTAAAACAATTTGTCAGCTGCATTCGACATTCTACATTCTGCATGCGGCATTTGCATATTGCATTTGCTGCCAGCAACAGTGCCTGCAATTTGTATGCAATCGCTTGCGTTATTCGAGCCAAGGCCAAAAGGATCATAATCGGTTTGCCAGCACTTGAAGCCAACCAATTGCCGTTGCGTTGTTATTGCCCTTGTTGGTGAGTTGTGCCCGTTGCTAACATAATTTATACCCACTGAAACTGTTTGCGTGTGTGGGTGGGGTATGCAGCTCTTGTAAAGGTGTTTAATAGGTGTATATAACTGTAAGGAGAGAGTCAACATTGGGAGTGTTCAGTGTTTGTTCTATTGGGTGGATTTTCTTCTAGTCTATTACTTGCTCATTTCTTATGTGTTGGTCTCTCAGTCTCTCTATCTCTCTCTTTCTCTCTCTATCTCACTCTCTCTCTCTCTTTCTTCTCTTTTGCTCTCTTGCTTTGTCTTATTTTTCATCTCTATCTATTTTGCATAGTTTCTATTTCTATTTCCATCTTTTCCCAATCTTCTAATTCTTTCGTTCTATTTCTGTTTAGCTATTCTCTCAAGCATTCAACCATCAAAAAACTTACTCTTAGTCTCAGTAAATATATTGCCATTCACTCAACGCCTTTCTTTGCGATTCTCAGCAATTTATCCAAGTACAAATAAACCATTTTTATTATTTTCTCTAATATAATTATATAAAAATATATAACACAGTTGCCATTGAGCACTATTTACAGCATGTGCTCTAGTCGAGCAGACTCAACTTGGCTATTATCCTCACTTGTTGTCGTTGTTGCGGGCTGGCTTATGATTTTGAATGATTTTGAATCACAACAATAGCAACAGCGAGTCATCTATGAGCTTATGGTTATGAGAGTGTGCCTTTAATTGAGTTGAAGTGCTCGATATGCATACGAGATAGACGTACGTGCATATATGGGCATGTCTATGGGTACATATACATATGTACGCACCATATATGTATGTATGTGTCTATCTTGTCTATCTATGAATTGATGGCATAAATTGCTTGCGCTCGACTTGTCTGCATTGTTGTTAAGCCAAATTGCTTTTGACAACAACAATGATCACAATAATAATAATAATAATGGACACTACAATAACAGTGGGCTATCGCTATGGCGAGCGACAGCGAAGAGACAGACACTTACCCAAGTGATTTAGTACCCTAAAAATATTCTACACAAACTATATATAAATGTATACATATCTATATATATATTTTTATGTTTAATTGTTGCCGTTGCTGTGGCTGTGTCTGGCATTGGGCGGACTGTCAAGGTGGCTGTCCGTCCAGCGGCGTGGCATGCAGCATTATGTGGCATCATTCACATCAATGCCAAAGTTTTGGTGGTCATGTTCCAAGTGGAAGAGTTTTGATAAATGACTTTTCGAGTGCCAATTTCCTGGCCAAAAACTTGTATGGCATGCAAATGAAGCTAGCCAACTGTACAAACCAGTTGGCATTGGCCGGGCTAACTGAACTGTGTATGATGTGGAGAAATGCATCGATTGGAAGTTTATAATGGAGCTGCCATATCAGTTTCGATGAAAACGACGTAGAAATAGTTCAATAATCCATTCTTCGCAAATTTTTAATCAGTCTGCATATCAATGAGAGCTAGAATGGGGAAATTATTTGAGCAGGGAGTGTGTGGTTAGAAAATATTCGAAAGAAAACTAAAGGAGCTGCAGAATACAAGTTTTTTCTAGATTTAGTGTTATTTGTGATGTGAGTTATGTATGCATAAGATAGAGATCTATTATTTCAAGTGTATGGATGCATGTCTTTAGTCATATGCTTGTAGGTTAACAGGGCATATACTACAGTAAGAGATCTACTATACTAATAATGCATAGATCTTTATCGCATAGGTAAGTTGTCTGTAGAAAGACCAGCTCTTATAGATAGGCACATCAAATTAACTTTAATAATTTTTAAACAATAGTTTCTGTTTAAAATTCATATCTATATCTGTAAACTTACTAATCTGCAATATCTTAGTTTTGAGCCAGCATAAGAGCAGCTTTTAAAAAACTGAAATATTTTTAAATAATGTAAACGTCACGAAAAGCTAGCCACCAAATTTCATATCTATATCTCAAAAAGTTCTCGAGTTATATCGAAAAAGAAGCTGAAAAATCGGAGAAATGGCAGCAATCAAGCGAAACGAAGTCATAAACTTGCCATAAATATATTTATATTATTTTAATTTATATCGAATTTCAGTTCACACTTGCTAATAATTATAAATAAATAAAGAATATATCTAAGTATATATATGTAGTTGGATATATCTAGTATATATATAAATTGCTTGGCAAAACCATTTGGCATGTTGGTTGGATAACCGTTCGATATGAATATATAATGCAGTTAGTTTAACTGTGCTAACCAAATCATTATGCCAATCAACGAGCCAGCTAAACAGCGCCAGCCATAATAAACAATCGAAAACAGCTGATACAACAACAACAACAACAACAACAACAGCAATGACGACAGCAACAACAATTACGCCCTTTAAATAGATGCGGTTAAAAGCAAAAAGTTGTACACAATTTGCATGGCTCACTGAACGCTGAAATAAGTTGGCTAAATGTTACATTGGTCAAACAGCAATCAAATTATATAACTCAATTACGAATGCACACAAATACAGACAGATGCACATACACACACATTTATATAGATGTGTATATATAGAGGGGAATAGTCTGTTGTTTTACTATAAATATAAAGCAGCAGGCGCCCGCACTCTGGTCTGGACTGCATACATATATATATGTCTATATACCCATCAACGAAATGCATTTCTATTTTGAAGTAGTTTTTCATTTGAATTTTACTATGTAAATTGGCTTTTCATTTGGAAATGTGCGTGTCATTCGGTTGCGGTGGGGGTGGGGTGGTGTGTGAGGCCTTCTCCCCAGTTATCTATTTATTATTATGGCACACCACGCTCCACTGATTTATGTTAATTTGTAATGTCAACTCTGTTGTTTATTGTTGTTGTTGTTGTTGTTGTGTGTTTTGTTTTATAATTGTCGTAGCGTGGAGGCATGGCATAATAAAACAACAAACAACAAAGCTCTCCTTAGCCACAATAAAAAATTTAAGAATATCAATCAATGCTCAATGAAATACTAAAGTTTTTCCCCCCACTTTTCTTTCTCTACATTTTCAGGCGTCACAATGCGGGAGAAAAAAGGCGGCGCCCTGCAGAAGCTCAAGAAGAGGCTGTCGCACAGCTTTGGCAGATTAAGTGAGTAGAAGCTCTATCGATAAATGCAATCGATAAATTACATCTAAGGGCACTTTAAACTTGGTCCAACAACAAAATATTTATAAAAAAAAACCCGAACTCTAAACAAACAAAAGCTAAACTACAATAAATCAACAACAAAAGCTAACCATAAATGGGCAGAAAAAAAATGAATGAGAAGCCCAACACAGAGCGCTGTGTGTGGGTGCGGCAACAATGGATTTATGTATAAATATATAGATATATGAAGTATATATATATATATATATATATATATATATAATTTTTACTATGGCCACATAAAGTTGGGCGTTGCATTGAGCAATGAGAAAATGTCGCGCATGAATCATGTACAATATATACATACATACATATCTATATCGTTATATAGATATATACTATATAATTCTCAGCTTAGTTTCTCAGCACTTGAGCGTGGCAAGAAAGAATAAGCTTTTAAATTAGATGCATAAAGATTACCTTGGATATATGCAAAAAAAAAAGTCTCAGCTAATGCTATTCAATATATTTATTTACATATATAGATAGCGAGTTGAGTTTATGTTCTCCAGCTTTATAAATTGCATTTCCTGGCATTATATTCAAGCATTAATTTGAGCTTAAGCTCGATTGTTTTTATCAATTAAGACTTGTGTTCGCATTTCCTGTTATTCTCTTCTTCTGATTCAACATCTGAAGAGCCCAACTCTCGCGATTCTGCTTTGTTTCTCAGCCGTAAGCGTGCGAAAGACACAGCCTGGGCTTAGCTATGCTACTTAAACTGCAAAAACTACGAAATATTGTTAGTATAAAAGTTTAAAAAGAAAATTATAAAATTATTCCCAATATGTGTTCATGTACTTTATGTCTAATTATAGTTGCTTTAGCTTTGGCTTATGCTGAAATATGTTTCAATTTAAACTTTTCGCTCGCAAAGTTTCATAAATTATAGATAAACATGAGTTTTTTGAGCCATCTGTCTAAGCTGGCAACGCAAATGAGAAAATGTTTAAAGCCCAAACACAATTTGGCTAAACTTTATTAGCTTCACTGCAGAGCAGGCCATAAAGCTAGCTTGGCCATGGCAAAAGTTGCGATGACAAAGTTCGCTTTGGCTGGAAATTTGAATCTAGTTGCAAAAAGTTGCGTTGCCTTAAACACATTTGCTGCACGTGAATGAAACTTGGCCAAAGCCAACTAAACCAAGCAAAGCCAAAAATAGAAGAAACTGTGGAAATAATTTTGGAAATTGTGCCCACAGTTATGCACGAAGCTGTCAGAGCTGCCATAGCGCTTGAAATACTATGAAAACACGAGAAATTGGAAACAACGAAACAAAACAAAAATTGGAAAATAAATGTTTGCTGCGCAGCAAGCGAACTGTCGAATGTTGAATCATTTGGCAAAGCATTTAATGGTCAAACAGCATCGAAATCGGCAGCGGCATCAGCAGGGGCTGCCCCCATGGTAATTGAATGCAGCAGCTGTAGCTGACTATGACTGACAGCTGGCAATGCACACAGACAGGCAGACAGACAGACAGACAGACGGACAGATGGAGAGACAGAGAGACAGACGCTTGCATAGCTGAAAGATGAAATAAATGGAATATAATCCACAATATGCACGCTAATACATTTGTTAACCAACGCAATTGCAGTACTACACATACCCTTCATCTCTCTCTCTCTCACTCTCACTCTCTCTCTCTTTCTCACTCAATCTCTGGCTCTCTTTACTCTTAACTGCACTTTTTAGTCGAACATTTTGTGTTTGCCCCGCTGAAATTCCATAGTTCTTGTTTGAGTATACCCTGTAAATATGATGAGTCGCAAATGAGGTGTATAAAAATTATGTTTGTGTATGAAAGAAAAGAAATTTAGAGATTTTCGTATATTATTTCTAACAGCTCTCTATAACAAATACAAATAGCAAATATATAAATATTTCCTTTTCTTCATTTGATTACAGAAAATCTAAAAATATTATTAGCAAAAAAAAAAAAAAAAAAAAAAAAAAAAAGATTTGTAAGCACAAGATTGCAGAGAGTTTTTTCTTACTTTTCTAAATCAATAAATATTGATGTATTCATTTTATTTCCATATAATATATCTTTGGCAAGTAAAATCTTAAGTTTTTCTTCAGATTTACTTGAATGTTGTGCTGTTATATTTTGCTTTAAGTAATCGTTAACTATCGTTATAAGAACTAGAATATATTCCTTATAGATCTCTGACTGTTAGCATCTTTGACGTTTTCCTATCTAGATTTTGTTCTCTAAGAAAGAATGAATACAGTATATCATTTCGTTAGTTCATCAATCTCATCCATATTTAGAGTTTCTTCTCCAAGAAAAAAGAACAGAGCATACAGCTAGTTCATCAGGCTCATCTATAGCTAGTCGTTTGCTTTTTTCTGTCACGCTTGGTTTGGGGCGCCACAGTGATTCCGTATAGCGAATATTTGTTGCTGTTGTTGTTGTTGTTGTTGCTGTTGACTCACCAAAACTTGTTTCGGGTTGCGGCATGCGGCTAATTGTCTCTCAACGCCCACAAGTCAATGCTGTTGTTGTTTTAGTGCCTACTCTCGATATTCGCGTTTCAGAAACAAGTTTGAGCTTTGTCTGCAGCTGGAAAAAAAAAGCCGCTTTATGTGCAGAGCAAAGCCAGAAATGGCTGAAAACAGCTGTTAAATGGTTAAATAGAGAGAGAATGAGCGAGAGAGGTAGGTGAGCTAATGACCAGCATTTAGATTACTGTTCAGTGTGACCATATTTGGCAGCAGATATTGATTGCCTAATATGCAATAGGGTCACAATTTGAAAATCAAAATCATGTTTTTAATCTAGTCAAAATGGAAGTAAATAAGAAAAAAGAGGAAGAGAGAGAGAGAAGAGAGATTTGTTTATTCTTCGTAATTCTGTCATATATACCTATTCAGTATTTTTTTTTTTTTTTTTTTTTTTTGGTATATTTATTTACGCTATTCGATTTCATATAAAGCAAAAACTTGAAGCCACGTCAATTGGATTTCAACTTTATAAATATGTTATTTTGCCTGCTCAATCAGGCGTGTTGTAAACGGCTATTTCCTAGTTTTGTGTGCCTGGCAAACCGCTTGACAAAGTGCCTGGTAACCAAAATTTGAAGTTTTGTAGCTCAAGTTGGATTTCGCCTCGTTTGTCAGTCACAAAACTTGAACAAATAAATATAGAAGAAATATTGCAATTGCAATTGGAATATTGCTATTGCTGTTGCTGCCTCTGCTACTGCTGGTGACAACTCTATGGGCGACAACTCTAGGAAAAGCTTTTGGCAATTGCATTGTTATTTTCCACACGATTTTGTCAGTGAATGCAGCTCATAAATTTTGCAATTGAGAAACTGTTCACGAGGGGGTGGGGGCTGGGGCTGGGTTCGGGCAGTCGCCAAGTTGCTGCAACTTAAATGTTTTCATTGCATTATTGAACAGTTGCAGCAACAGCTGCGGATGCAACTTGCTGCCAAAGCAAAGCTAAGTTAAGAATGTCTCACACAAGTTGCCAAGAAGCTGCCGTTTGGCAACTATTTGTTGCTCTCTCGCTCTCACTATCTCTTCCTTCTTCTTCTTTCTCTAGCTCTTGCTTTGTCAAGGCTATTGCAACAGCAGCAGCAGCAGCAACTGCTGTTGCAAGTTTTAAGGCTTGCTTGTAGAGTTCATGGAGTATATTGGCATTGAACATCTTTGGGACTCGTTTGATGGAATAGAAGTCTTGAAAATTTAGTATAAATACGAGTTGGCAAACTGGAAGGATAAAGATTTAAGATACTGGGATAATACCAGATATAGGCGTGACTAGTTTATAGGACTTACTGTCTTATAGAAGCGAGAGAATAGACTTGAAATTGGCATTGAATGTAGAATAAAATATTGGGTAATATCATACATAGCTCTTTCTATAGGCAGCATCTAGTAATTTGAATGATTTGTATAGATAATATACATATCAATAACATATACAAATTCCTATATAATAATATATAAAGTCTTAGCTCTTCATCCACCTCGAGCGAGTATTCAGCAGTCAATCTGGTTGAGGCTGTGTTTGACTATCGTTAATTGCAATTTGTTGTTGTTGTAGCCGTAGCTGCTGTCGCTTCAATTTCAACGGGTTTTTCTTTCCAATTATGTATAAGCTCGACAAGCTCAGCTCAACTGCCTCATTCGCTGGCAATAATAAAACTTATGAAGTAATAAGCAGACAGAGCGAGTGCGGAAGAGGCGACAGCGGGTGCAGGCATTAAGTAAATTGCATTTAACTGAGCTGTATGCCACGCCCCGTTCCGGCGCCCGTCCGACGCTGTCCAAGTAGCTTGAACGCATCAAGTGTCGCTCACGATTCCAAGCAAAACAGAAACTGAATCTGAAACGGCAACAACAACAGCAACTGAAACGGCAACAGAATCAGAACCAGAACTTAAGTCTGGCCTCTATGGCGACGGGTGCTCGCGCTTCTTCTTGTTCGTGACTTCAGACGGTGCTTCTAGCATACACTTCCGGCGGGTATTATAGGTTTTGCTATGGATGAGGATGAGGGAAGTAGTTGAAAATTATGTAGAACGAATCAGATTAAAGCTCATCGTTGATTTGATTGATGGATAGAGAGATTAATGGTTATGGAGAGGATATGAGCTGATATATTGATGAATTTATTGGATATTATAGATATTAGAGATCGAGATAGAAATAGATATAGAGGGAATTGTTAGATATGGATAGGATATGATCAGATGTATTGATGAAATTCCACATATTTTAGAGATTGAAATAGACATAGATATAGAGGGAGACAGATGGATTTTGTTATATTTAAAAAAAAGTTATAGAATACAAAATAGAATAGAAATATATTTGTATAAATTTATATATATATAGAAAGTTATATAGATTAAAAGAAGTATAGATAGATTGACAGCTTGGTATATATCACTAGATACCCAGCTACATAAAATAGAAATTTA